AGGGGGGGCCTTTTTTTTTTTTTTTTTCTTCCCCTGAGCGCGGCTGATGAGGCGACTGCTGAAGCTCGCAGGGGTCCGTGGTGGTCTCTGTGTCTCCCAGGGCTCCCGCGGAAGGGCAGCCATGAGGTTGGGCTGTTTTTCGCTATAGGGAAAGTGGGCAGAATCACCCGGGAGAGCCCCAGGGGGAGAGGGGTCTTTTTTCTCCCGGGAGCTTGTGGAAAAACCTGATGAGAAGTCTGAGGGAGAGCGGTGAGCAGCGCTTGCGGTTCCTAAGTTTTCCTGAACTGTTTTAATGTGCAGTAAGGGGTGTGTGTGTGAGAGTCAGGTGGGGTGAGGAAACGAGCCGCCGTTGTGGGGGTGGGAGGGACAGCGTTTTCTCCCATTCGCGTTTATTTCGGTGAAACGCCGAGGAGATGCGGCAGCTCTGAGGAGCGAGCAGCATGGGGCGCCTCGCCGCGAGGAAGAGCCTGCCCCGCTTCCCCCCTCTCCCGTCCCTCTGGAATGATTCACGGGACAGGAGCAGGCAAAGCCAAGCCCGCTTTCCAGGGCACGCAGACGCCAGGAAGATGCTTCCCAGCGTGGCATGCCAGGCTCCCCTCATCCCAACGTTTCCTTGCCCGGGTGCTGCCTTGGCCGCTGGGCTCCGGGTTGGCAATGTGTGAGCCTTAGGCAGCGAGGAAGAGGAGGAGGAAGGAGACCTCGCCATGGGGCACAACAGGAGCTGGATCCCAAAAAGCCAAGGCGAGCATGCCCTCTACCAAGCCGTCACCAGGGCTGTGGAGATGAGGAACGTGTCAGCGGCCCACGGGGCATGGAGCAGGAGGAACACCAGCGGGATCGGCACCCTGGAGAATGGCGAGGAGCAAACCTACAGGCACTTCACCACTGCTGTGCAAGTTGTCATCTTCGTGGGCTCTTTGCTGGGTCAGTGAGTATTTTGCTGGTGTTTGTTTTGTTGATGTGGTTTGCTTGGGTTGCACAGCCCGAGCTGCAGACCCAAGGGATGCTGAGCCCGGGAGTGATGCGCTGCTGCGCTGACTCCGTGCTCTGCGTCTTGGGTCCTGCAGATTTCAAATGAATCCTTTGGAAGCACTTTATGCTGTAAATGTGTATAGTCACATGCTGTCTTATGTGTGCACTGTCCTTGAGCTAATAATTACGTGCTTTAGATAGATGGTAGTAAATGACTGATCAATTACCATGTAACTCTACAAATCTTTGTACATTTGTTAAGCAGCTACAGTAAATTGTTCTGTTAGAAATATGTTTGTATTTCTTACTACCAAGAAAAGTAAAATCTTTGAGTGAGACCATTTGTGCTATTTGGGAGGTCAGTCAGATTTCAGGAAAATGCTACCTGAAGCTAGTTGGGAAAGCTGGTTACTGGAAAAGATAGGGTTTTTCACAAAGTCTGGCTGAGTGAGTTCAGAATGGCTTTGCAGATGGATGTTATTTCTTCTAATCAGGAGTGTGTTTATGTTTATTTGGTCTTGGCTAATGCTAGATTCTATTTCTGTGGTCACAGCAATTCGTGCCAATATTGATTTCTGCTTCTTGCTGTTTAATACCGCTTACATATTTCTAAAATGATCGTAAGGATAGTCTTGAAACAAGGCTGTGGTCCTGGCTCAGTGATAGACTTGCTGAGTGTTGCTGTAAATTATTGAGACTTTTATCATCAGCTCTTCCTCTCTGTCATGGGGTGTAGATTTCATGGTTTCTGCTTTTCCTGTTGGAAGCATTGGTAGTGTGTGGAAAGAACTTATTGTGTGTTGCATAGGGCCTAGCACAAAATAACATTCAGCAAGCAGTTAGTGAGATTTAGTAGCCTGATCCCAGCATTGGCAACAATATTCTGAAAATTACAAGGCTAAATAAGGAAAAATCAGAATTGTAGTTTTCTTCAGAGGCAGGATGTGTGGGTTTGAGTCTTTACAGGTTTAGAATATGCAGCTTGTGCATTCCACAAATTCAGTAAATGTCCAAGCTGCTTTGGTAGTTGTAGGGAGTGAATGAAATAGCACTACCTTTTTAAAAGGATTAAATCATTTCTGTTTCCAACTTGAAAGGGGAAAATTGTGAATGTGTTAGTGAATACTGATGTGGCATAACCAGCAATATACAGCTCAGAGAGGTGCACGTCCTTGAAGAGGGAAGAGTCACAGACCAAGCTGTAAATTTAATTTGGAAACTTGCCCATATTAATGCAATGTTCCAGTGCAGCTCCATGGCTGCCAGTGGCAGTTCTCATAGTAGTTCTCATTCTTGCTTCCTAGCCACTAAGACATGAACCCTGAGTAGGGGGTGGGTAAAATCAGCTCAAACACAATAGTATTTCTTGTTGCATGGTTTGAACTGTTCTTGAATCTATGAGCACTTCATAGGAGAAAAAAAAATAAAAAGGTAGTTATGGACACCTCTGAGCATCAGTGGTAGAACAAGGAGAAGTGTCTCTAGTTACCACTTCACTGACCCACACATGTTCTTGATCTTCCTTGCAATTAAGAGCATGTGAGCTTCAGGAGTTCTTGAATGCAAAGTACATATGTCAAAAAGATAATATTGCTTGCGCATGTGAGCTTCAGGAGTTCTTGAATGTAAAGTACATAGTACATACGTAAAAAAGATAATATTGCTTGTGTGGGTCAGGTAAATTGTGGTGCAGAGTCTGCTTAGGGCTTAATTGTACAGGTATGTTATGATTAAATTTGTTCTTTTTAAGGAAAGCTATTATAGGAAAACAGATGTTAAAATACGAGAGGGATTCCCATCAGTTTACTTTATCCTATGGAGTAGAATGAGTCAAGATTCAAACGTTGTGTGTTGTAACTTATGTTGCAAGGATGTAGTAGAATAGAACAAGAATGGTAGAGGACTGCTTCAAAACAGATCGGTGCTGATTTAGTGGACAATCTGATTCGTATAAAACAATATCTTGTTGCATAGGAGGAAGTGTTTTGCTTTGTACAGGCTGTGTCCTCGCAGCATTTCAAGTGGTTCCCTCCACCTGTCCCACCAGATGGACAGGATCAAAGGGAGATGTGACCAAGTGGGGCTACATGTGGAAGGGAACAATGATTTGAACTCATGATAATACTGGCAAAGGTCCTTAGCTGAAAATTTCAAAGAGCTGCTATTGAAATGAAGCTGTTGTTTATGTGAAGCTGGTAAAACTACAAAAAAGGAGGAGGAAAAAAATAGGCTGTAGTACTGTGAAATTGCGAGAGGTCTGAGGATGGAGACCGTATTCCTGTCTCTCCTGCTGTTAGTTAGTTTAGTCCAGGTAAGAGATGGAATATGCAGCTGCTTAGTTGTAAAAGTAGTTGCAAAAGTTTTCTTTGTCTGTCATCCGGAAGGGAACAATGATTTGAACTCATGATAATACTGGCAAAGGTCCTTAGCTGAAAATTTCAAAGAGCTGCTATTGAAATGAAGCTGTTGTTTATGTGAAGCTGGTAAAACTATAAAAAAGGAGGAGGAAAAAAATAGGCTGTAGTACTGTAAAATTGCGAGAGGTCTGAGGATGGAGACCATTCCTGTCTCTCCTGCTGTTAGTTTAGTCCAGGTAAGAGATGGAATATGCAGCTGCTTAGTTGTAAAAGTAGCTGCAAAAGTTTTCTTTGTCTGTCACCCTGTTGTTTTTTTCCATGGGGTGGTTCTTGCAGGGCCTTTCTGCTGGCTCCTTGCTTCACGGTACTTCTCCGCTGCCCTTTGTCATGCTGTCAGGAGCGCCTTCAGCAACACAAATTGATAACAAAAATGCATTATTTCTTGGAGTCTCTATGGAGAAGAGGAGAAGAGTATGCATTTAAAAAAGAAAAATCCCAAGCAGAATTTTATCTGATTCCGTGTGACTGTGGTGGCTGGCCCAGAGCAGAGCAGCTGTTGAACAGTGCAGGGCTCTGGTGGCTGGGGACACAGCTTGCCCCTTGAGCTGCCTTGTCACTGCCTTTGCTGAGGGGCTTATGAGCACAGGGTGAGCTGAGAAAGGACAGGAGCTTCCGAGGACAGACTAGCTCATGCTGCCGAGAGATCCACGAACTGGGAAGGTGGGACTCTGCTGGCTTCCCCTGTGCTGACTACTAGACTGATACCTAGGTCCAGTGCATTTGTGGGCCCTGTGGCCAGGAATCCTGCTCTTGTGCCTGCATTGCCCTTGCAGATAAGGAGGACCCTAAGCAAGCAGTTCTGTTGTACTGCCCTGGGAGAGTGTTTTTTACTGATAGTAAATTTGGATGAATAGGAAGTTACTACTTTTCCCACTGAATGTGAAAAATGTGGCTAGTGATTCTTAAATAGGTGGCAAAGACCTTAAGTAATGAATGGCAAATCAAGGATGACTTCTCTTTTTTTTTTTCAGGCTTGGAATGGTGCAGGGCTCCTTTTTGAAGACTAGATTTTTAATGGCTTCTCTTTGATAAAAGAGAATTTTTGACATCAGATTCACAGGTGAATCTGGCATACAGCAGTAATGCTTTACAAAGGCTACTTATCTCTTACCATTAGAGGTAATTTGTGGGGACTAATTAGTGCTTTAACACAGCCACTGCCTCTTGCAGCAGGAAGAGGGGGGAATTTGCCCTGTGGTGTGACTGGGCAGAGGCTGCTGAAAGTCAGTGAGGCTGGATCCAGTGGAGGGTGAGTGGTGTGATCTGAGGAAGTGGATCTCCACGTAGATCTTAGACTGAAAGGGAGACAGGATGGATGGGCAAAATGGGCTAGATGGTATCACCATGCCTTATCCTGAGGAGAAGGAAAAGGATAATTGGGAATAATTAGCTCTGAGGCAGTTCATAATATGGGATCTTTCTCTTAACTGATTTTTCCCTCAGTTTGCTTATTTGTATACATTATTTACATTTATTTAAATATCATTATGACATTAAGTGGGTGAGTGTGTATGGGTTGTGCTTAATGCTCAGATCCTGTGAGTTTTATGTGAGATTATATCCCATTATCACAGCATGTTGTTTCAATTCTATTCGTTTCCCACATGTGGTCTTGGACTTATTTGCATCTGTTCAGTTTTTATCTTAGCCCTGTAGATTAAAAACTCAATGGATTTCCTTTTAAAAATAGAGGTTTGTTTGTTTGTTTTAATTTTTGGCAAACAAATGTTAATTCATTGATGAAAACTGAAATGAAAAAGGTATGTCCTGAGTGCCAGTGTCCCCCTTCCAATCCTGAATATGTATCTTCCTTTTTTTTAGGCACGTTTTTTTCATGTATCCCAAACAATTCCAAAACCAGAAAACTTCCCCAGACCTTGCAGATCAGTACTTCGAATGGAATAATGGGGATGAGGTTTTTTTTTTTTACTTGTGCGTTTATCAGCACCCGTATTTTAACTATGAAAGGAAGTGCAGCTTTCACAAGGGAGACTGCAGAGGCTCTAATACAGTTTGACCTATAATCTGGTGCTTATAGCACTTTTTGGAGGGAGAAGCTGTGGGTTTGATCTGTCCTCTCACGGGCAGGGAGGACCTTGTGCAAGGGAGGACTCTCTCTGAGAACAGGGAACTCTTCTGAGCACTTCAAAACAGGTGCAACATTTCCAAGGAAAAGTGTCCTTCTGCTGCCTTCCCCATGGCCTGAACACGAGGCAGGGCTTCAGGCCCATGTCTGTTCCTGAGTGTATCCCGTTGAGTGGTTGGCTCCTGCCTCAACCTCATCTTGAATCCAATTTTCATCTTCCCATCTTCACACTGTGCAAAGCTGTTAAAGGTAATTGCTACAGCGCCTAATCTATAAAATCAGAAATTAACTGGCAGTTACGTGTTTGTAAAGGCAGATGTGAGTTTGTGTAAGGAATAAACACTCTAAACAACAGCTTGTGAAGTGTGCCATGGCCGCACTTCTGTGAAGAGCAAAGCAGGGAATATTGCAGGAAAAAACACAGGTACATGGTAACACCTAGACTGAAT